TCTTCCAAGGGAAACGGGGTGTGAAGACCATGAGGAAGGGGTTCACCAAGAGAAACAGGGTGTGAAGACCATGGAGATGGGGATCTTCCAAGGGGAATGGGGTGTGAAGACCACGGGGATGGGGTTCTCCAAGGGAAACGGGGCGTGGAGATCTTGAGGAAGGGGTTCACCAAGAGAAACAGGGTGTGAAGACCATGGAGATGGGGATCTTCCAAGGGGAATGGGGTGTGAAGACCACGGGGATGGGGTTCTCCAAGGGAAACGGGGCGTGGAGATCTTGAGGAAGGGGTTCACCAAGAGAAACAGGGTGTGAAGACCATGGAGATGGGGATCTTCCAAGGGGAATGGGGTGTGAAGACCACGGGGATGGGGTTCTCCAAGGGAAACGGGGCGTGGAGATCTTGAGGAAGGGGTTCACCAAGAGAAACAGGGTGTGAAGACCATGGAGATGGGGATCTTCCAAGGGGAATGGGGTGTGAAGACCACGGGGATGGGGTTCTCCAAGGGAAACGGGGCGTGGAGATCTTGGGGATGAGGTCTTCCAAGGGAAACGGGGTGTGAAGACCTTAAGGAAGGGGTTCTCCAAGGGAAACGGGGTGTGAAGACCACGGGGATGGTGTCCTCCAAGAGAAACGTGGTCTGAAGGCCTCAAGGCTGAGGTCCTCCAAGGGCAACAGGTTGTGAAGACCTTAATCTCGAGGGACGTGGGGCTTGGGGGTGGTTTGGGGTGGGGCCTGGAGCCCTGCGGGATCGCCCCGCCCTCAATCCTCTTCTCCACCCTCCCGGCAGATCCAGCAGTTCTCCAAAAAGGAGATCGAGGACCTGTTGCGCAAGGGGGCCTACGCCGCCATCATGGAAGAGGACGACGAAGGTTCCAAGTTCTGCGAGGAGGACATAGACCAGATCCTGCTGCGTCGCACCACCACCATCACCATCGAGAGCGAGGGGAAGGGTTCCACCTTCGCCAAGGTACCTCCGAGTCCTCTTCCCACCGTCGAGGGGGACATGTCCCACCTCGGAAGTGTCCGTGAACATCTCCAATTCTTCATCCCACCCCAGGCGAGCTTCGTGGCTTCCGAAAACCGCACCGACATCGCTTTGGATGACCCCAACTTCTGGCAGAAGTGGGCCAAGAAAGCCGACCTTGACCTGGACCTGCTGAA